CACGTCCCCCGGTCCCACCCCGCTCGCTCTGGCGCGCTGCAGAGGGGCGGGACACGTCCCCCTTTCCCCACCCCGCTCGCTCTGGCGCGCTGCAGAGGGGCGGGGCACGTCCCCCTTTCCCCACCCCGCTCGCTCTGGCGCGCTGCAGAGGGGCAGGACTCGTGCCGCCTACCCCCCTGCTCACTCTGGTGTGCTGCAGAAGCACTCACCCGCACTCCTCTGCCCCTTTCAGATCCCGCTTGCTACAGATACAGCCCGGAGCGGCTGAAGAAAGCGAAGTCGTGCCAGCCCATGGACGAGGTGCCCCCGCAGGCACGGCAGGGGCGCCGGCAATCGGGTAAGAAAGGAGGGTGTGCCGAGGGAGGGTGCAGCCAGACGGGGCCTTGGCATGCCCGGCTTAGAGAGCTCGGTGACTAACGCCCATGTGGCTGTCTCTCCCGACACAGCCCAGGTTTCCCAGGGCGTGCATGGCACCACTGCGGGCGGCTGCTGGCGCTACCCAATGGCTGGTCGCCCTGGGGATTGGGAGCATGGGACAGGATGGCCGCCCACCACCTGAGCCAATCGCTGCCTCCTGCATGGGGCAGTGGGCAGGGCAGGGAGGGGCCCGTTCAGTGGTCTGCCTCTGGAGGCTGATGGAAGCAGAGGTCCCTGGCAGGCCCTGAGCTAGCGGGGCCTGGCGGAGGAGCAGGGCGCGTTGATGGCTCGGAGGGACGCTGTCACAAGCACCTGTCCTCCGCCACTGGGGAAGCAGCCGTGTAGGTGATTAGATCCACCCTCCTAGGTCGGCCTGGCCGGTGAGTGCACGTGCCACCCTCCCTGCCAGGCCCAAAGGGGAGCGCAGTGCCTGGCACAAACCCCAAGATGCTACTTACACAGGAAGCTCAAGCCGCTGCCAGTTTCCTTCCTCCCCTGCCGGGAACCAGCCCCCTCTGCTCCCCGATCCGTGAATCTCGCCGATGTGAAAACCTGTAGGCAGCGACGGTGAAGGGGCACCGGATCGGCGTGGTCCCCCTGGCACTGGCTGGAGTGATGGCCCGGAAGCCGGGCTGTCTGAGGGGGGTGTACGGCTGGGCTGTGCCCGCACAGAGAGTGGGCAGGTGGCTGACTCGCTCCCTGCTGCTCTGCGGGGGTGAGGGCGGGACTGGATCGTCCGGGTGCAGGGCAAGCGCTGGAGAGTTTGGGGTTGAGTCCCGTCCAGCTGGCTTAGGCCAGCGCCCGTGGGGGCACTGGAGATGTGGGGGTCTTTGTGTCCCAGCCTGCAGCTGGCCCCTGCCCGTCCTTCCCCCTGGGGTCGCTGTCGGGCGAGCTGTCAGCGCTGGCTGTGATGGGGGCTGTTGCATGGCCTTGCCTGGCGGTAGCTGGCCCCTGAGGATCCAGCCCTGGTATCCGTCCAGGATCTGCCCTATACCCACCCGTCCTTCTCCGGGTCAGACCACGGAGGTGACTGTCCCGCTCTGTCCTCAGCATCCTCCTAGCACAGAGGCTGCGTGGCCGGTCGGGAGATGCGCTTAGATTGATCAGTTGTCCCTGACGGTGCGGCTGGACCCCCGGCCACCTTGGCTGCTGTCGGGCCCAGGGCAGCCCGGCCTCCTCTGCTAGGCTGGGTGAACAGGCCGGGCTGCCCTTCGGCAGCTCCCCGTGTCTCGGAGGGGCTTGCAGCTCGGCCCTGGGCGCTTGCTGCTCTCCTGGGGACTCTGGCCTTCTAGCAAGGCAGGAGAGCTCTGGGCTGCGAGCACTACTGTGCCTATGCCTAGATCTCCTCCTCTTCCTCGCGTGTGGTGGAGGCGCGGGCATGGCTGGCTAGCTCAGGCCAGACAGAGGTGATGCTGGGGGAGGGGAAGCAACCCCCAGGTACGCTCTCTTTCCCACCTGTCCTGTGAGCCCATGTTCAGGGCGATAGGGGTGTGTGTCTGTCAGGCCCCTGGCTGAGCCGCAGGGAC